TCACACATGAGCCAGGGTCAGAAGTATCAGACTTCAAGGCAACTACTATAACTATGCTTTAAGAAAGTAAGGCCAAACACTCTTGAAACAAATGGGAACATTTTCATCAAAGTTCTTGGAGTTATAATATGGAAACAAAGGAAAATTTTAGAATTGAAAACTGCAACAATAGAAACACAATATCTTAGAGTGGAAAAAAATTCATATTACCTTTATAGGAGCAGCAAGCCTTTTGGCTAATTTTCTGGTGAAAGCAAATCTAGGAATGATGGAGGTAAGGTGTTAGGGCTGGGTATATCCCTTAGTGGTAGGGTAGTTATCCAGCGTTCTTGAAGTCCCAGGTTCCATTCTCTGGACTATGACAATAACTAAGTTAATAAAGTAAGAGAAAATAACCCTCAGTGAAGAAGTATACATCAAATAAAGATACTGTGTAAAATGAGGCAAACTAATGACATCTTCAGGTAACAAATGCAGACAGAATTTGAGCATAACTATATAAATATCACCTAACCCCTCGTGCAGAGCTGGTTCCAGCAAGTAGCAAGCCAGTTCTACAGGTTGTGCTCTCCTCTTCTTTATTCTAGTGATAGCTTTGTGTGCTGATCCTATTTAACAATAACCTCTATTGCATGATTTTGTCTGTATTTTCCTTTTCGACTTTATAAAACAGAGGTTTAAGACCACAAGTTAGAAGAAAGATCGCATAATCAAATGTGAAGAGATGGGAACTCTGGAAGGTTTGCATGAACTTGAATGGCCCTAAACCTGTTCCAGCTTTAACAATAGCATTTCACCTGGGTGCTATTTGCCCTTCTGGTGTAACGTCAGTGACCTCAGTGCTTCCCAGCTGCCATAAAGCCCCATTCTTACTCAGTTCTGTAGTATGAGAACACTCTTCTTGTAAGATGTAAATGAAGTACGCATATGCATTGACTGCTGAATTCACTTTTGTGCCATTTTTGTAAGTACAATAGTTTTGCACAACCTTGTACAACAGGATGAGAATGAACACATTGTAAGCTAACAGGGAGGAAAATGGGATAACAAAACTATCAACTCACGCAAAAGAAGGCCAGAAAAGAGAGAAAAGGGATAGGGATATTATCTATGCTGTTTGTGGGTCCCTGTGCCAGAACCATGCTGGGTGGACCCCTGTCTGCACTCCTGATGTCCAGGAGTACCTGGGGCTGGGAAGGATGGTACTGACCAGCAGCAAAAAGGCTGCTGTCTTTGCACTTACTTTATCCTGTTCAAATCTCTCAGGCCAAGTGGCTCTGACAGTCTCTGAGATTTGTGAAGTGAGTTCTGGGAGGAACATGTCAGTATTTGACTGAAGCTGCTTAAAATTAATGTTCAGTCTCTGGAAGCTGCAAGTCCAAGCACTAAATTCTTCCCTCATTGTCTTAGTTACTTTTCTCTTGTTGCCTAGACAAAGTATCCAATGCCCCAAATTAGGGAAAGAAAGGTTTATTTAGCTCACAGCTTGTAGAGGTTTCATTCCATAATCAGCTGGCTCCATGGCAAGGTGGCATGGCACAGGGCAACACTTCAAAGCAGCAGAAGACAGCAAAAGCAACATGAGCAAAAGAGGGGGTGAGCAAGCCTCTTTTCTTTATGTTGTATGCAGGCTATCCACCTTTGGGTGGGTGTAGCACTCACACCATCTCCCTACCCCTTTTTGCACAGGCTCAGGATGTTTACAAAGTGAGGTCCCTCAGGCTCCTGCTGAATTGCCTAGTTAAAACTCTAAACTTGTGAAATGGACACAGAGAACAACATGGAGAGGGATAAAGGCATGTCCCCTGCACTCCAGGATATAGAACTGCTGAGTTACTTAGCTAAGCTTCTGGACTTCTCAAGTTGACACAATGTATCAGTCATAACACTAAGCTTCTAAGTCTGGTTTACAGATTTTTTTTTATTTTTATGAAACTTATAAATTTTAGTAGTCACCTTTTCAGGGCTTTTGAGTACTGCAAGTTTATTGTACCAAATATCATTAAACATTTTACATTGTAACAGTAAGTGTAATGTTTTCCTTCTTAGGCATTTAACCTATTTGAACAAAGCCTTTTCAGTAGTAATTAATTTTTAGAAGTCTAACAATTCAAACTTGAAATGCAATGAACTCAAGTTCTTTTACATATTCCAATACTGTGCATAAATGCTCTAAGATTTCTACATAGCATTATAAGATGAAATCATTACTTAATTGTGCATTTCAGAATGGATTTATGAATTTTTTTTGTAATAGGCCAAATTCTTTAAACATTATGGGAGTATGAAATATCAAGCCTGCTCATATTTCTTAATGTAAAAGCTGTAATTCTATAGACCTGATCGTATTAATCATTTATAGAGCTTATGGCCGGGACAAAATAGAATCTGGTCACTGAGAACATTGGAACTCAAGATATGCATGCATTTCATGTCCTCAGGCCTGGCCATACCCGTGGCTTTAAAAATAGTTTCTGAAACTCATGGTGCATGACACGGGCATGTGAGATTATAAAGTACAAAGTATGACAAATATTTTTATCACTTTTCAGCAAACATGCTTCCAATCGCCACCCAGTCAAGAATCACGGCATTGCTGATACCAGTGTCCTTGTCCTGTCCTTTCCCTGTCATCACCCTGTCCCTCCCTCAAGAACAACCCTCTTCCTATTTTCCTTGTATGTATTAACTGAGGTGGGAGAGTAGGGTTGAGAAAACTGGCTGGGCAGTGGGCCTGACCCATCAGTGACAGTGACCCAGGACTCGTAAGCAGGGCAGTCCCCAAAGCTCTGCACATGGAACCAGTCCAAGAGTGTGACCTTCTGTTATTACAAGAACCCAAGCAGGGTTTTAATAGGATGGCGTAGAGCTGATGTCAGCCCGAGGGGTGGGAGGCATCAAAGATGCCTGCCCCTCTCCTCGGCCGCTGTGCACTGCTTTGCAGTGGTCCCTTCGCACCTGGAGAGTAAGCTTCTTTTCCTACTTGTAGCTGGTTGAACTCTGTCTGCAGAGCACGTTTCTCTTCTTTTCACATCTACAATAAATGTAAAATCTCTACCTTTTGTGCTTGACCAAGTCTTTGCCCAGGACAGAAAGAACCTAGAAACTACCCCTAGAAGACTCTGGCGCCCCAAAGCCCAGGGATTTTACTATAGAAGTATGCATTCAAAATATTATTGGTTATTTTTCTTTTGAGAAAAATAATGCTCATTTGCTGTGGGATCAGCTGCATGCGGCTTAGGGTGTGTGGCGTACACATTTCACCTTCAAACCATGGGAAGTCTCTGAAATGGGTGTCTGTGCTGTCTCCGTCCACCCTCGCCCTGGTGGGCTTGCGGTTTGATCCATCTGGGGGCTCTTGTGAGCAGCCTGGCTGTGATGTATCTGATCATGACCATGTGCACGCGCAGGGCACCTCCCTGATGCCACCTGGAACCCGCTAGAGAGTTTCCTACTGCACCCAGCTCTGCACTGGCCCAGCTGTGGCCAAACCACTGTGTCCATCAGTGCTGGCCCTGCAGAGTGGTCCTGCCCAGCCCCATGTGGTGCTCTTAGAGCTTGCTGGGGGCTTCAGGGGTCAGGGGGTGGGGCAGCACCTCATCCTAGCTGTATTTCACATTTCTCTCCTAAGTAATTCAATAGAGAGCCTTTTAGGATTGAATACAGGTCCCTTGTATAAATATATTGGCATTTTCTTATAAATAAATATATAGGGCCTTTTCAAGAAATATATGGGACATCTTCTTTTGTGAAGTGTCTGTCCAGTACTTTTTATTGCTGCTCTTGGAGTACTTTAGCTGGAACTCAGGGCCTTGTGAATGCTAGGTAAGCGCTTTCCTGCTGAGATGTACCCCAGGGCCTTAGATAATGCTGCTATACCTATGCAGACATATTTTGTGTGTGGATCCTAGCTATCCATGGGCACATTTGTATACCAAATGCATGTGCCATGTTTTGATGGTGCCCATGCCTCTTACCTTCCTGTCCTTCTCGACCCTACTTATTTATCATCATGTGCAGGAATTCTTTCAGGGAAGAGCTGGTACTTTTTCATTTTAAATTGGTGTGTAGAGTAACATGTCCTGCCCTGGTGCCTGGCACCTGTGACTTCCAGGACAAACTTGCGTGAGGTGATCAGGGCTGCAGACCCTGGGGTTACCCAGATGGCTGCAGTCTAAACCCAGGGGTCTTAGCAGCAGACGCCCTGCAGGCTGTGGCCAGAGGTGCAGTGACCATAAAAGTAGGTCAGAGATAGGATGCTTTGAAGCAGACGAAGTGACCCCATTCGAGGGCAGCAGGCTGTCACTGGGAGCAGAAAAGCGAAGGGAACAGATTCCCCACAGAACCTGTTGACTGGGCCAGCCCTGCTGACACCTTGGCTTTAGCCCCCCAAGGCCTATTTGGGACTGCTGACCTCCAGAACCGTAGGGACAAGTATGTTGTTTCAAGCCGCTACACGAGTGGTGGCTAAGGGTGTGTGTGTCAACCTTCTCTGGGGTTTCCTTTTCTTCTCACTGCTGCTGGCCATTTCTGCACAAGGGCATCCCTCCCTACCCTGGGGGCCTGCTTAGCAGTGCCCTGGGAGAGGCATTGAGGCAGGGCCCAGCTGCTCCCTGGTTTGCTGTGCTGCTTTTTCTGGCTGGGGGTGGGGTGGCAGCTGCCCCAAGTGCAAAGTCTACCTTGATGGAAAGCAGCCAGGTGCTACCCAGCTCCCCACTCACTTTTTGGGGAGCTTTCCAGCCAGAAGTGACCTTTCAAAAAATGTGTGACGAACTGTGGGGACCTGGGAGACATGGGGAAAGGGTGGGTCACCTCATATCAGAAAGGTGGGGTGCAATGTGCTGATCTCCCTGGGCATCAGTGCCCCCATAGACTGAGTGGGCTCCCTGACTCTTGGGACTTCCCAAACTCATGAGAAGCCCCGGCTCCCCAAAGTGGATGAAGGGGTGTATATATCCCCAGCACTGTATCTGAGAAATACAAATGAAGAAGAGCCAAGGTGAATGTCTGCAGGAGAGATGTGTTTCAGAAACATAACTGTTGCCCCTGGTGAGGCTAGGAACAGACCGGGTGAGTTGGCATTGGCATGGAGGGTGCATAGGGCAGAGGGCAGAGGTCACAGTGAGGTAGGGCAGCACCTTCCTGAGTGGGGACAGTGATTCTGTTGTGGCCGTGTGTGTGGTGGCCTCTGCCCCGCAGGGAGACGGGTCTCCACTTGGAGCTAGGTGGCCCGAAACTTCATCTCTGACATCTTGTAGCTGTATTTGTACCCTTTGCCCGACGACCAGTTGATGCCATTGGCATAGCTTTCATGGGGACCCCTGAGGTAGAGGCCGTTCAGGTTGGACACATGACACCGCCCATACCACCAGGCTCCGCTGTACTGCTTTGCACAATTGCCGGAGCTCTGGTCGTTGTCCTGGTCTTTGGTGGAGAAGAAATTGTCGTCATGGGATTTCAGAGAGTCTCCTGCTCGGGGGAAAAAGGCCACCGCTGTCTGCTGCAGATAAGCAATTTTACCCAAGCCTCGGCTTTTCCATGTGCAATAGCGTTGAGGGTCTCTGCCCGCCTCCTTCCCTGGGAGCCTCAGAGTGCAGGTCAAACAGGGTGCTATCGAGAAAGCTCCCAGGGGTCCACCTGCCCCCCACAGCTCCGGGCTCAGCACAGTTATGTGGGCTTCATGCCCACTGGTTCCGACAGGTTCTGGTAAGTGGTGCCTGGCACTGGCCCAGCAGATACCCTGGAGGCAATGCCCCCAGAACTGCAGGACCAGATATGGACACAGCACAGGGTGTCATCTGATCACAATCACATCGCGAGGACCAGGCAAGGTAAAGATATGGGGGTGCTGAACTCTCACTGCAGCCCTCACCCAGGTCCCCCGCTCAGACACTCACCTGCACTGCCCTCCACAAAGGCGCCCAGCACCAGCTTGTACTTCTCTGTTTCGCCTGCCACCCTGAAGGAGTCATACTTGGCAAAGCTGTGGTTTCCCCCGAAGTCCACCAAGTCCACGCGAAGCTCGCTGTTTCCTGTGGAGACCCCTGGGTCTCAGCCACTGAGACCCTCTGCCCCCATCACAAGAGGGAGCCAGTCTGCACTCGGCAGCTGGAGGAAGCTCAGCGGGGTGCAGGAACACTGGGGTGCGTGCGCATGAGGCCCCAGGGGCTCCATGTGTCCACATAGCTTCCCCACTGTCCCTCGGCTGTCCTGAAGACCCAGCCTGGCTGTCACTCATTGGGAACAAGCTCACTTTTCTCTGAGAGTACAAGAAGCTACCTGTGGGGCTTTGGTGAATGTCTTCTTTGAAAGAGTTCCAGCCATTCCGCCTCAGTGATCCATGGATACCCATGTGCAGAACCACACAATGACCCACACACGTCCCCCAGCTGCCCGGTGCTGCTCACCCTGGGCTGTCAGGGCATGAATGTTGTCATTCCCCAGCCAGAACTCCCCGAGCTGACTGCCAAAACCGTGCTTGTAGGCGGCCCAATCCCGAAAGAAGTCCACGGAGCCATCAAGTCTGCGCTGGAAGACCTGGGTGGGGGCAGCCAGGGCACTTGAGGGACAGGAGGCCAGGCTGATGTCTCAAAGTCTGGAGACAAGAACTGAGAGCTATTGAGCCAAGTAGGGTGCCAAGAGCTTCCACATGGGCTCATCACAGATCTCATGTGGTGGAGGAGGACCTGGAGGCCCCCAAAAGGCAGGCAACCAGCCGGAAGCCATGCAGCAGGACAGCAGTGGTCCTCCGGGCCCCAGGACCTGGGCTGGAACCCACAGGGACCCCTCCTCTGTGAGACAGTGTCTTTGTGGGCTCCAGAGGCGGACAGGGAATCTCAGAGTCCCTGCCAGCCACTGAACCCATTCCCTGGGATTCCTGGCTGCTCACTTTTGTATAAGGACCCCATCCCAACACTCACTGTCCACCCGCCCCCATCCACTTCCATGTCACACAGCACGCTCAGGGGCCGGCAGTCAGGCAGGTAGATGGTGTGCCAGCCACTCAGGAAGTAGCCCCGGCTGAGAAGCTCCTTGCAAGTCCGAGGTCCTGGGAATGGGGCCGGAAGAGAGGTGGGACATGGCCCTGAGTGGGCTGCATAGGGCGGGCCCAGGATCCTCTCCCAGTCCCCAGCCTGTGGGTGGAACATAATTTCTCCCCGAAAAGCCACTGCCATGGAAGGCACTCATCACCGGGCAAAGGCTGCCCCGTGTCTTGCTAACCGAGTGACCAATGACTGTGTAGACTGAGGTTCATCCTTGCACTGTGGACTGCAGCTCTACCCAGCTGGCCAGGGCGGGCTGGGCTCAGGCACAGGGTGGGCAGCACGGTCACCTGTAGCACAGGATGGAGAAGACCCAGTGTCTCCTGTTGGAGAGAGAAGAGACATTGGCATCAGTCCTCATCCTCTGCAGCAGCCCCAGCTGCCCCAGTAACACAGAGGAGGGGACGTGAAAGACAGCACAGCCTGAACCCCAGGCCCTGCTTCCCTGGGTGCCCGCTGTCCAGCTCTTCCCTGAGGCTGGCAGTAAGCACTCGGTGGCTTCAGGTACCAATCAAGGTGGAGTAGCAAATCTCAAACCCATCTCTGCCCATCTACACTCCACCCACATGGCCATGTGGTGTGGGGTGGCACCAGGGACTCAAGTCTGTGCCCTAATCTTGTGACTTTTATTTCTAGACAAAGCACATGACTGGGTCTGATACTATATCTTTTACTGATTTTACGGTTTTCTAAAATAAAGGAGACAAGAATTCCTACAAGTCAGGTGCCTACATTTCTGAACATTGCCATCTGGCCAGTCCCTCGGGGTGGCTGCTGAAAGATGGGGAGCCTTTGGGGACTGGGGTGGTCCACTGTGCCCAGATCCCTGTCACCTTCCCACCTGCTTCCCAGACACAAGCTTGGAACTCCTCCCCCAGGGGGCACTGGCTTGGCTGAGGCCTCAAGAACCCAGCTCTGGTGGGTGGACGGCTCACCTTTCTCTCCACGAATCCCTTTGTCCCCTCGGTCCCCTGGAGGGAAGCAGAGAGTGGGAAGCTGATGGTGAGAAGATCACATCCATCTGTTGAGGCTGACCTATCCCATCCCCTCTGGTCAGCACAAGGGCAGTGCTGCCCCGGAGGTGAGCCAGGCCCCTGCTGGCTGCTCTGCCCACTGACTTCCCCCAGGGAGAGAATCCCAAATGTGGGACTCAGCAGGGTCCTTCCAGTCTTGTCTCCCCATCCCTGGATCCATATGACAACTCTTCAGGCTGCTGTGTGGTCACCTTTGGGCCCAGGCGGTCCTGCCTTGCCAGGGGGTCCAGGGGCTCCTCGTTCACCTGCAAATTCCACACAGGCCCCCTGAGAAAAACACCTGTCCTCAATCCCGCCCCCAAATCTTTGCCCAACACTGTGACATCCCACCCTCCATGTGTTCCAGACCCTGCTGCCCTTGGAGCTGCTGGCCTGGCCAGGGCTGAGCCAGGTGGTCCCAAGTGGCTGGCCAGAGGCCAGGATGCAGGAAGGCTCATCTGGCCCACTCCACTTTCTGGCTATACCCTAGTTCCCACCTCTGACGCTGTTGACACAAAGCCTGGGGCTGTGCCATCCTCTCGGAGCTGGACTGTCCACTCAGGGCCAGGTCCCGGGATGAGGAGCACCTCCTCAGAGAGCGCTCCTCTTTATCAGGGCCCAGCTGTGGAGGGCTGGTGGGGACCCCTAGGGAGTTGATGGGGTAGAAGTGCAGGGCCGAGCCCCTGCATGTGACCTGAGCCTGGAGGCTGAGACAGGCTCTCACGTGGCCTCCTCACAGCTTGTGTTGCTGGCTCCTGTAGGATCAGGGACCCCCAATCATCCGTTCCAGCCACCATGTGTGCTGAACCCTTTCCTCCTGGACAGATGGACTCTAGGGATGGGAGATGTGGCCCCCAGCCCCCGGAGGGCAGCTGGCATGTCCTCTAGCCCCATTGTGCCCTCACTTCCTGTTTTGGTACAGGCCATCGATATGCAGTGGCCGGAGACTGATAAGTGGGGTCAGTGTCCCTCCATCCCTGTACTGACTGAAACACTGCCTATGGGAGTAGCCTCCTTTTCTCTCTGCGGGGCTCAAGGAACAGAAATCCCAGTCTGGCGGGTCCACCTGGGTGAGAAGGTGCCCAGACTCCGCACAGGACAGGTGTCACAGAATGGCCAGGTTCTTCCTGTCCTCACCAGGTGCTCTTTCCAAACCCTGCCTTGAATACCTCCAGGCACCTGGAGCTCACTGCCAGGAAGCAGGCCATGCACATCTGGCCACACCAGGCTCAGGGGACAGGAGCCCACGATGGAGCTCCTTCTGGAGGGTCAGGTGCCACAGGCACAGGGTCAGAACAGGGCAGCAGATTGTAGGAAAGTGCCCAAAGCTCTGAGGGGGGGGGGTCACTAAAAACACTCCCTCGGAAAGCATCCTCAGAAGCCCTGAACCTCCAGGTCTGCTTCTCTCAGTGGTCTGGGCAGTCACCAGGACCCAGAGTAGGGCAGACCTGCCTGGGCATCCCAATATGAAAGGGCAAGTGTCCCTCCCACCCTGTTGCTGACCCTGCACCAGGCCCACACGCACCTCTCTCTCCTTTGGCTCCTGCCTCACCCTTGGGTCCTGGGGTTCCAGGCAGCCCTGGGCAGCCCCTGAGAATGGCGAGCTTGTCGGTACCCTCCACGCCCATCACTTTCACCTCTGCAAAGAAACACATGCAGCCTGTCAGCGTGGTCACCTGGACCAGAGGCCTTACCCTGCCACCTGTGGAGGGCTGGTGGGGACCTCTAGGGAGTTGATGAGGTAGAAATGCAGGGCCGAGCCCCACCTTTGGGGGTCAACCTGCCCCAGAGCACTCAGTTCCTCAGTCCTGGGGTCCAGCCTCAGGGCTAGGCATTCTCAGGCAGGTCATTAAGCTCTCCTTGGCTCCAAATGGGGCTAGGGACCAGGCTGAGGGAGGATTAGGTTGGGGAACACAAACTTGAAAGATCTGAGTGTCATTCCTGGGGAGCATGAGCGTGGCACACAGGAGCTGCCCTCAGCAAACGCCAGCCAATATTTCAAGAGATGGGGAGAAGTTGACGTCACGTTCTTTCTCCCAGACCTCAGGACTGAGGAACTGAGTGCTCTGGGATCCCTGGGCTGGGAAGGGTCACCCAGGCCCCTGGGGAGGGCACACATGACCCGAGGGGAAGGCAGGGTGTGCTACCCACACCTGGGCCCACACACAGGTCATTGGTCTTCACAAAACATTGTTGATTAGAAATGTATCTTTCAGGAGACCCTGGGAGGTCTGTGGGATTGAGCACAGCTCTGGGAGATGGGGCGGGGCCATCTCTGGCTCACTGGTTTCTGCTCATAGGGGCAGCTGTAAGGCTCCAGGTGTTTCTTCTGTAGATGCGTGACCCCAGGACCTCTGCTCCAAGACCAGAGACAGAGGCTGCTGCAGCACATGGCATGGAACCAGGACCTGGGTGCAGCGGGTCACCTGAGCTTTTGCACCTCAGGTGCATGTGGCAGCCACTAGGGAGATGGGGGATGTCAGAGTTCTTCCCCCAAACCCATGAGCAGGTGGAACAGTCAGTGTCATTTTATTCCTTCTTGGTGAGGGGGTCAGGCCCTGTCTGCACAGCCCCGCAGGGCAGCTGCCACAGGCTTCGGGCTGGCCGGACATGGAGAGCCCGAGTGCATGTTACTCAGGGTCTCTGCGCCTCCAGCTCCTCATCTGGGGAGGACACAAAGCTGCGAGGACCTTTGCAAAACGATGCATGTGAACCAGCTGTGGTGGGGCAGGCACGTCCTCCTAGCACGCTAGGAGGCCAAGGCAGGAGGACAGCAAGTTCGAGTCCTGCTGGGCAACTTAGTAAGGCCCTGTCTCAAGTTAAAAAGTAAAATGGGGCTGAGGCTTTAACTCAGTACAAAAGCCCTCAGCTTCATGCCCAGGGCTAAAAGAAAAAAAAAACGAAGAAAAATAAAAGGAAGGGAAGAAGGAAAGAAGGAGGTAGGAAGGAAGGAAGGAAGAAAAAATAAGACAAGAAGATAAGTGGCCACTGGGTGGTAGCCCTCAGCCCTGGGGTAGGAGGAGAGTCTGCCTCACCTGGACAGGTGTCGGTAGCCTGGGCAGCCCGGTCTTGGACACACAGGAGCAAGACGAGCAGGACAGTGGGACCCCTGGCCATGGTGACCCCACTCAGCTCCAGGTCACACCTGTGGCCTGGTAGATGCTCCCAGCACTTATAGGGCAGCGGAGCCGTGGGTATGGTGGATGTCTCAACGGCCCAGGGGACGCCCACTTCCGGCAGGCGCCCAATTGCTCAAGAGGAGGTGAGGAACCATCTCACAGTGCGTGCCCCCTGCCCTCCCTAAGGGGACACCAGGCAGAGGCCCCTCTGCCAGAGAGGGCCTGCCTTACTTGTGGCATAAGGAAAGCCCAGATGTGCCCCTCATCTCCCAATGGTCCCCATGTCAGGGAAGACTCTGTTGAGGGTGTTTCCTGCCTCTCAGGACATCCAGGGAGACAAGGGGGGATGGCCCTGTGACACTTGAAGGCAGGGATGCCCTTGTTCCCCAAGGTCCTAGGGGCCAAATTCATACCTCCTTCTTGGCTGACATTCAGCCCGAGCACGCTGTGGGCATTTCGGGAAGGGCCTCTGAAGATGTATAGTACAGTCACCAGGAGGGTCACGTGGTGGCTGGAGCTAGTGGCTGAGGGGCAGCTGTTTCTCTGGGCCAGTGTGGGTTCCCAGCCACATGGTCCCCCCAGGGAGGGGCAGGACCCTGGGCCACAGCTCAGCAAAGGGAGTGGGTGGCTCTGGGGACTCAGGCAGCATGGGGGCGCTCACCTTTTCACCTGCTTGTGCCAGCCCTTAGCTTCTGGCGAGGAAGGGACAGCAACTTTACCACTGGGACACCTCAGGAGACCCCAGCAGCTGCTATACCAGGTCAGCTAGGCCAGGACTCCTCTGGGCCACTTCTGGTATTGTCTCCTTGGGCTTTGGCAGGGACAGGGAGGTGGCAGCCCTCTGTGCCTGCAACTGCTTGCCCGCAGTCCCCGGGGGACAGTGCTGCCTCTTCTGCCCAGGGTCCCTCATCTCAGGAGATGTGTCCACAGTACAGGCCGGCAGCAAGTATGTGTGCCTGCCATGTGGGCCAAGGTGTTGGGCAGGGGTCTTGTTTGTCCTCAAGGCTTTGGTATTGATGTTTAATCTCCATCGTGGAGCAGAAGTGTGGAAGCTAGATCTGACCTGGTTTGGATTAAGATTAGATAGTTAAATCTTAGGATAAGGTCATCAGGGGGACCCTGTGGTCCAGTCCTGGTGGCTTTAGAGGAGGAGAGACCAGAACAAATACATATGCACACAAACACACACTCATACACTCACATACACGTACCTTCACTCCCTGTCTCTTATCAGGACGCTTGGTGCCATCTTGGACAGCAAAGTGGTTTCCCCTGTGCCATACCAAACCATCTTACAGCTGGACCTAGGAGAGTCGTTTGGCTTTCTGACGAGGGCAGATGGGGAGTCTGGGGTCCTCGGTCTTCCTGAGCTGCAGAATGGGCAAGTATTAGGCCTTGGGCTGCTAAGGGTGTGGATTTGGGTTGCTTTGGGGTTGCCCCCAGGATAAAGGCCTGCAGTCTGCCTGGTAGCTATGCCAGGGTCCAGGGGAAGAAAGCTCAGGTCTTTCTAGGTCGCTTGTGTCCTCAGGCTCCTGGTGGAAACCATGGAAATCTCTGCAGGACGACAAAGCCTCCAGGCTTGGGTGACATCTGCCATGCAGTTTCTCAAGCCCGATGTTAGACTGCGGTGGACAATAACCAGGACCCCGAGGAGGAAACCAGGTGTTCTTCCTGGGCAGAGCAGGTAGGAAGCCGGGCACAAATGCAGCAGGTCCTCTGAGGCTGGGAATGATGAGGAGGCTGTCACTGCCTGTGGGGGTGGTGGCAAAGAGAGGGCCAGAGCGGTAGATGTTGGGTCCTGTGTGGCAGAGACGGGGGAATGAGGGGAGGGTCCCTGCGATTCCTAAGGGAAACTGTCAGAATGAGCCCATTTAGCAAAGCCTACTGGGCTTCCAGAAATTTGCCATGAAGAACTGAAAGAGGAAATCTTAAAAGTGTTTAGTATTTGGGCCCCAAAGTCAAGTAACTAAATAGATCCAACAAAACACACACTCATCTTCCATGAGGAGAGCTCTCACGTGGGAGCTGCTGGATCTGGAGGAAGACCGGACGTCGATCCTTCGTCCCCAACTAGGATTGGGAAGACATCAGTTTCCCCATCTGGCCTCAAGTTTCCCTGTGGGATCCGTTACGTCCCCACTGTGTGACCCTTGACAAGGTGGATTTAAGATTTCTGTGAAAACCGAGACTTCCTTGAGCAGAAACCAGGACCATCGGCCCTCCCACCCCACCCCCACGTGCTTTAGAAGGCTGCAGAAATTAATGCGGTGGGTTGTGGAGGCAGGTTACCTCCAGGGGTGATCCAGCCAGGTATGGTGGCTTGATCTGTGACACCAGTAGCTGCTCAAGGTGCCCAGAAATGATGGCCTTTTAGCACGTGGACATTGCCACGTGCAAATAAAGACAGAGAAACTTGACTTTTGTCATACAACAAAACAAAACAAACAATGTTAGGAGAATCACAGATCCAGTGTAGATGGAAAAACAACGTTAGGGTTCTGACTGTAAGCTCTCAAACACTCAGAAATATCTTCAGGGTGGAAGACCACGAAACCCTAACGGAAGTCTGCAAAGGCAACACGGAGATTAAGAACATTTGTGTTTCAGGATGTTCCACTGAGAGAGGAAAGACCAGCCACTGGGGGTCGGGGCTCTGTGGACAGACACGGGGGACAGAGGGTTGGATCCAGAACAAAGGCCTGGGCAAAATGAAAGCTAGATGACAAGGAGGAGAGCCAGATCTTTCCCTAAGGGGAAGGGGAGCAAGAGATGCGGACAGGGGTCCAGGTGTGTGAGTGCCTGTGCTGGCTGCACAAGTGGGGTGCGAGCCTGAGCTGCTGCGCTCGGGGTATACTAAGGGAGGAAAGGTGTGGGGCGTCCCAGCAGGGTCTGCTTCGAAATCTCATTTCCCATGAACTGATTGTGGACATTTTCACACTAATAAATACAGATGCCCATGTTTAAAAGAAAGAATGCCTGGAAATCAATTGCAAAGCATGCCATACCTGAGAGCCCCTGCAGAAATCAGCCACGTAAGATTCCTCAAGCCCAGAGGAACAGGAACAGGCATTTGGCCTCCTGAATCCCTGTAGAAATGGGTTTAAATCCCATGGGGCACCCGCTCACCCTCCCCCACAGTGAACATTTGTATAACAGCAGAGCACATGGTTTCTGTGAGGATGCCTGAGAAAAGTGGGGGGAATCCGTGAGAAAGGTCTCGGCAATACTTCCTTCAGTTTGTGGGGAACAGCAAGCTTTGCAGCCAGCAAAGTGCAGCTTCGCCCTGTGGAACAGAGGGGTGTGCCCAAGAACAGGCAGCCCCAGCGTGCCATGCACCTGCGGCGGAACAGGCGTCCTCTGAAGGGATTCAGACTGCAGGACCGGCCGGGCAGCGGTAAATCCCACAACGCCTGCCTGCAAAAGTGTGGTTGGAATTCGAAAAAGGCCTTGAAGGAAAGAAGCCAGCGTGACAGCGCTGACAGCTTCATGAGACAGTAGGGCTAGGGGTGCACATCCTCCAGGGAGGAGGGAGGCCAGGTGTGCTTGTGCCCCGGGCCTGGGGCTGGAGGCTGCCCCATAGGGTGGCACACCTTTAGGTTTGTGTACTTGGTGAGGGATGTCACCTCTCACTCTGAGAAGGAAGTTTAAACCATGAGCAGGGCCCTCGGGTGATCTGGTCACTCTGCATTTCCTTCTGCTTACTTTGGGTGTGAGACAGCGGCAGCGGGGTCCCTCTTATCCCCTCCTCACCTCTGCGAGCCTGACCTTCCTGGAGGCTCACTAGCTCTGGAGCCTTGTGCCCGGGCTGAAGGCTGAGCCGGTACAGCTGAGATGGACAGAAATATTCTAGGTCTCGAAGGAGCCAGACCAGAAGCCCAGACACCTTGCAGCCTTGCAGGAGACAGACACCTCTGCCGAGGGCCAGATCTCAGGACAAAGAGAAAATAACAAGTGCAGCCACGCCCTATGTATGAACATCAGCGACCGATGTTCTAAGTAAGTGTGGGTCACCTTGAGGAAGCCAGGAGCCGCCATCCCCACCCCTACAGGGAGAGTCCCTGCTCCCTAAGCATGCCCACTTGCTCCCTGACTTGCTCCATTTGTCCCTGATTTGGTCAGTTTTACCTGAGCAATTAATCTTATAGCTCTGTTCCACCTCCTGCCCACCTGCCTTGTGAGTTCCCAGTTTTCCCCACCTTAGACCTGCCTCGCCTGGTGGTTTTGCTCTATAGAAGTCCCCAGAAAAGACAGTCTTTGGCAACCCACTTGGGACCCCTTCCATCTCTCTCTCTCTCTTTCTCTCTCTCTCTCTGACCAAAGCTTTCTTTCTCTCAATAAATATTTCTGCTCATAACCTACATTGTTCAATTTTAGAGAACATGAGCTCAGAGCAGACATCTAACAGGTTGGGAGTTTCCTTCCCCTGTATCACAGGGACCAGCCTGGGAGAGGCAGTGGGACAGAGGGGATGGTCCTTCTACCCGGTCTGTGCCCACCCATCCAGGGTCACCGACTCCCCTCCTGTTGGTGGGACGTTGTGACACAATGCTTTGTTCCATGAGGCTGTGACACTGCTGCACCACACAGCTAGAACCCCGGCTGCCCCAGCCTCAAGTTGCTTTGGCCTTGGAGACAGCACATGGCAGTCTGCTCTGCAGACCTGGGGAACCCTGTTTCTGTCATCTTGTCAGCTAGGCCTGACCCCCTCCCCATCTTGGGCCTTGCTGATGGCTTCTTTCCTTCAAGGCCTTTTTCGAATTCCAACCGCACTTTTGCAGGCAGGTGTGGTGGCATTTACCGATGCCCGACAAGTCCTGCAGCATGAATCCCTTCAGAGGATGCCTGTTCCGCAGAGGGTTCACGGCACACTGGGGCTGCCTGTTCTTGGGCACACTCCTCTGTTCCACAGCCCCCACCCCCCTGCCACCTGGATGCGGCCCCTGGCTGAGCTGCCCTGTCCATTCCTCTGCTGGACCCAGCTTCCTGTCCCATTCATCCAGTCCAGAAGTCCAAAGGGGGCCGCCCTCCTAGCCAGGCCTGGCTGGGGCTCTGCATACTGCTCCTCAGATCCTG